CAAATGTTGTTGTGTTTTATTACATTTCAATTCACTGCTCATCAAACTATTGAATAGTCCTTTTACGATTTGAATCAAAATCATTTTTTGTGACTGAAAAAGCATTTGAAAATTTGGGAAATCAAAATGTTTTTCACATTTTTTGAAAGATTATGCATTTATTTTGAATTCAATGAAAAAATTCATTCTTTATTTTGGCCCTTTTTTCAAATATTTTCGCAATAATTTTAACTTGGTGTGATAAGCACCCTAATGAAAAATTGGGCACATATTCTTGATGCATATAAAAAATCGCAAAATTTTTATTTTTCAATGGCAGTTGAAATCTCCAAATTAATTTATCAAAAATTAATTAAAAATTCAATTAATGAAATATCTGAATTATGAAATATAAAATAAACTGGGCACTATTACAAAGTGATTATAAAATCACAAAAAGTATTGTTTGTTTTTATGTTGGTAATCCTAAATGTTATATTTGTGTCAAAAAATATATTTGATCATTTTTTTCCTTCAATTTTAACATATTTTTGTGTCATTAAATTTCACGACATTGTCAAGATCAATTAAATTTTCACCATTTATTAAAAATTAGAATGTTGAAATATCTAGGAAATTTCAGTGAGATATTACATTTTATAATGTGGTTTTAATTGAATTGAATTTTTGTGCTATTATTCATTTGAAATATTCATTAAATGACTTTTTGAAAAGTGTGGACTAAAAGTTGCAAAACTGCATTTTGATTCATTGAGGGTGAATGAGTCAGTTTGAGAAATCTTACCTTTGATAATTAGGTTTTGACTGCAAATTGATTCATTGAAGGTGAATGAGTCAGTTTAAGAAATCTTACCTTTGATAATTAGGTTTTGACTGCAAATTGATTCATTGAAGGTGTAAGAGTTATTTTGCAGAAAATCTGTTTGATGGAGAATTAAATCCTAAAAATTTACACTGACACAGGTGTAAACTTGCTAGATCAAAGGTTAGTATTGTCTAACTCAAACACCTTTCATGAATCAAAATGTTTAGACAGTTAATTTAATTAAATAGTTATTTAAATGAATATTTGATATGAGTAAGTTGAAAGAGTCATCACAAATATTTGGTTTTTTAGACTAAGTGTAAGTTGAAGTTTTGATCATTTTTGGTGTTTTGTTATTTAGTTTCAAGTAGCAGAATGAATTAAAACTGATAGTGGCGTAAGGAATTACATTCAATCCTTCATTTTGATCTCAACTACAGTATCTAGATATTGAATGGAAACCAGGAACAATTCTCTTCAAAAATTTGGCTTTATTCATGCAAATTCCTGAAGAAACTTCATAAATTCCTGAGCTTATTCTTAGGTAATTTCATGAAAATTTGAAAAAAATTTCACTCCAAAGTGCTCCAATATCAGTGAACAGTAAACATATTTTTAAATCTTTGAAAATTTTGACTTTAGTTTGTCTGCAATTGCATAAAGTTTCCTTTCACCATTTTGAAAAGTGGCATAGATATCTAGATTAGAATTATAGCCAGTTATTCAAAAATTATACAACCATATCCCTTTAAATCCTACTAAAGTAGATCAACTCAACTCCAAAGTTGCTGATGAAGCCAAAAATTATACTACAAAATCCCTTTAAAAACTAAAATTAGGTTCTTCATTTGATATTAGGTCTTCATAACTAAAATTCAGCTTTTTAATTCTGTATTGGGCCTTTATTACTAAAAGTAGGTTTTCCATTCTATATTAGGTTTTCCATTCTAAATTAGGTTTTTCATTCAATGTTTTCTTTTCCATTCTATTTAGGTTTTCCATTCTATATTAGGTTTTCCATTCTATATCAGGTTTTCCATTCTATATTAGGTTTTCCATTCTAAATTAGGTTTTTCATTCAATGTTTTCTTTTCCATTCTATTTAGGTTTTCCATTCTATATCAGGTTTTCCATTCTATATTAGGTTTTCCATTCTATATTAGGTTTTCCATTCTATATCAGGTTTTCCATTCTATTTAGGTTTTTCCATTCAATATTTGATTTTCCATTCTATTTTAGGTTTTCCATTCTATATTAGGTTTTCCATTCAATATTTGATTTTCCATTCTATTTTAGGTTTTCCATTCTATATTCAGTTTTCATTCTCTATTAGGTTTTCCATTCTATATTAGGTTTTCCATTCTATATTAGGTTTTCCATTCTATATTAGGTTTTCCATTCTATATTAGGTTTTTCATTCTCTATTAGGTTTTCCATTCTATATTGGGTTTTCCATTCTATATTAGGTTTTCCATTCTACATTGGGTTTTCCATTCTATATTAGGTTTTCCATTCTACATTGGGTTTTCCATTCTATATTAGGTTTTCAATTAAATATTAGGTTTTCAATTCGATATTAAGTTTTCCATTCTATATTAGGTTTTCCATTCTATATTAGTTTTTCCATTCTATATTAGGTTTTCCATTCTATATTGGGTTTTCCATTCTATATAGGTTTTCCATTCTATATTGGGTTTTCCATTCTATATTAGGTTTTCAATTCTATATTAGGTTTTCAATTCTATATTAAGTTTTCCATTCTATATTAGGTTTTCCATTCTATATTAGGTTTTCCATATTAGGTTTTCCATTCTATATTAGGTTTTCCATTCTATGTATTAGGTACTGTAGTTGAATGGAAGTAGAATTTTAAAATAACCTGGTGCTTTCAAACTATAACAACAAACTGGCCAGAAGGTGCCAAAATAAGCTGCCTTATTATTAACATTTACATGATAAAAATACAATTATAGTACATGTATCATGCTCATATCAACATTATACAAGGTAGCTACTTGAAACAATCTAGAAATTAAAGTGATAAAGCCATCGAAATATTTGCTTAATCAGCTGATAGAGCTTAATTTCAACTGACAATAGCACTTTTCAGAATTAAAGTCTGAGATACAGTTCTCCTGCAATTTATCATTTTATGATTTTGTTGAATTGCAAGAGAATCCTACATCAGATTTTAATTCTGAAAAGTGCTACAGATGGCTGAAATTGAGCGCTCTATCAGATGATGAAGCTTATAGTTTTGCAACTATATCCTTTTAAATGGACCTTATTCATGGATTAGTATCAATATATTATAGGAAGCTGTCCTATCAATTGTTTTAGACATTGAATAATGATTTATGAGCTTTGGGCAATAAGCTCTAAAATTTTGAAGCTGAAAATTTTGCCACAAAATTCTTGATGCAAGTCCAAATTTTACTTTTTATGGCAGCATTTAATTTTTTGATGATTTTTTTTTGAAGATTGCTTAGTTTCCATGAATAAGGTTCAAATTTTTCCATCCCAATCCAACGTATGACAACAATCATGAAATATCAATTAGAAAGTTGGAAGACCTATCTGTCCATCTACAGGTGCGGCTTGGTGTTCTTCGATAAAATATGCTAT